GCCGTTGACGGAACGCGGACGCAAGTACGCGCACGCGCTCGCCCGGTTCTTTGACAGCCTCTATGGCGGCGACAAGCCCAAGCGACACGCGCAGGTACCCGACGGCCCCATCCGTCGTGTCGCGCCGTACGCGCCGCCCGTGCCCGTCCAAGCGCCGCCGGCCATGATCACGCGGTTCTCGGTGCCCGGGTCCCCTGCGCTCGCGGCGGTCGGGGTAGCGGAGCCGGGATTCGCGTCGCCGTCGTCGATTCTCGGGCGCCGGCGCGGATCGATTGGTAGTGCCGCAACGGTGGGGGCAGCGCCGCGGCTGATGCGTGTGGCCACGGCCGCGGCGATCGTGAACGTGCCGAGTGCCGTCGGGACGGCGCCGACGTCTCCGTTGGCGTCCCCGCCGGGGTTCCCGACGGCGGTCGAAGGGGTGGGGGGCGAGCTGGACGAGACGGAGGTGCCGGTACCAGGGGACGAGATGGAACACGCGCCATCGAGCGACCAGACGACCGAGGGCGAGGCCGTGGGGGAGGGCGGGGAAGAGGATGAGGAGCCGGTGGACGACGACGATGATGACGATGAGGACGACGACGCCGCATACGACGACGACCCGGTCCTTCTTGGCGACCTGTCGCTCACCGACGACAATCACCCGACGTCCTGCTCGCCAAAACCGCGCCGCAAGCGTGTCCCGCGCGTGCCCGTCTGGACGTCGACGTTGCGACGCACGCTCGAGACCGCCGAACCCCTCGCGCATTCTCGCTTCGCCGTCAAGCCCTCGCGGCTGCTCACCGAAATCCACTCGGGCTCGTTCGAGTGCATGACGCCCGCCGAAATCGAGCGCATGTGGCCCGGCGAAGTCGCGCGGCGTGCGGCCAACAAGCTGGCCTACCGGTACCCTGGGCTCGGCGGCGAGAGTTACCTCGACGTGGTCGCGCGCCTCAAGCCGATGATCATTGAAATGGAGCGGATCACGCACGATATTGTCGTCGTGACGCATAATGTCGTCGCGCGCATTATGTTGGCGTATTATTTGGGAGTCCCGCTCGCCGACGCGCCGAAACTCGAGGTGCCGCTGCACGACCTGTATGCGTTGCGTCCGCGGCCGTATGGGACGGAGGTGGTGCGGTTTCGGTACGACGAGGAGCGGGACGAGATGGTGCGGGTGCCGGACGAGGACGAGGGGCGGGCGAGCAGTGCGCCGGGGCGTGCGTAGATGAGACAGGATGCATGAGTTGTGTTTTTAATGACGCAGTGGCAGTTACTGCTGCAAGATACCGCGGGAGACCAACGCTCGATTTGATCCGTTTTCCAATAACCTCTGTATTTCCATCGTCACTACAATCCCGCGTACAGCGCCTCGGGCCGCGACTCGTCCACCGGCTCCCCCAACGATGGCGACGGCGTGCGCTCCCCACGCTCTTCCCCCATCCTCACATCCCCCGCGGCCCCGTCCGCGCCCGTAAACTCGCCCCGCTCCAGCATCGCGCGCACACGGATCCGGTCGGCCACCTGCCGCTCCAACGCGATCCTGGTCACGTCCGAGTGCCGCGCGGGCCGCCACAGGATCGCGTTCCGCGCGCGCGTCTGTAAGTAGGAATCGTGGTGCGGTTCCGGGACACCGCGCGCGATCAGCGCCTCGTCGCGCGCGCGCTGCTGTTTGGCGGCGTGTTGGTCGGCCATGGCCGCGGATTCGCGCGCGAGTTTGGATTGCACGGTGGAGAGAATCTGCGTGCGCTTGGCAAACTAGAAATTACGAGAAGTTGAGTTGGTGGATCGGCGGGAGTGGAAGACGGGAGCCAATTCTACGAACCGTGTCCGACATGGACGTGACCTCAGCCTTGGCCTGCCGCAACGTCGACGTCAAGACACCGAAAAGGCGCGACTTGCCAAGCGTCGTGCGCGGCGCGCGAGCTAGAGGCGCTGCTGCGGGTCGGCGGGGCGGGGCGGCTGTGGCGGCTGTGGCCATGGAGGTGGGGCCCGCGGGGCCGCCAGAGAGGCTCCCTGTGGCGGTATCGGGGGCAGCGCGGGGTGGCGGAGAACGAGAGCGGGAGCGGGTGCGCGGGGAGCGGGACCGCGAGCGGGACGACCGGCGGCGTGGTGACCTCGACCGGGACCGGGACCGGGGCCGCCCTCGTGGGGAGCGCGACCGCGACCGCGACGTGCCGCGGCCGATGACGGGCCGGTCGCGGCCGCGGCGGTCGGGAGGCGGAGAATCGTTGCCATTGCTGGGCTCGTCGTGGTGGTGATCGCCCATGCGCACGTCGCCCACGTCGTGATCGTTGTGGCTCGGCGCTGGAGATGGGTCGCGAGTGTGGCTGTCGCCGTCGCGATGCGGTTCGGCCACGGGCGCGTCCCGCGCAGGACTGCTCGGCGAGTGCATTGCGGGCTGCTGAGAGAAGTTGGGATGGTAGGTGCGCGCGGTAGACAGGTCGTCGTCGGCGAGTCGGATTGGCACTCCAGGACGAGGATCGATGAAGACCGCGTCACTTCCCTGCCACCGCCGTCTCATCAGCGTGATCCCTCCACCGCACGAGGGCAGGCGCTTTCGCCCGATTTGCATCTTGGCGCACACTGCCTGAGCGCACCCGCCGGTGGCGAATCCAAACGCCGGCCCAAACGAGCCGAGGCGCCCAGAAAAGCCCAACCAACCAACCGCTGCTTCCGACAACCAGTCCCGACGACAGCTTGACTGGGGCTCCACACCCTCGACCAGAGACCGCTTCAACCACCCCGACCACGTCCATACCTCGGCCCCGTGCCGCACATCAAAGCGCCGACTTGCTGCACGCTGCTCGGCGCACGCACACCACTCAAGTCTACGACCGCGTCCCCGCGCCGGACCCCCTCCCCCACCGCCTCCGCCGCCGCTGCCGCCGTCCGTTGCGCGGCGGCGCTTTCATTGACGCGGCCAACCCCCGCTTCCACGCATCGACCGGCCAAGCAACCGCCCGTTGCCGGAGCGAACCTGCACCTGCACCCGCATCTACACGCGCGCTTGCTCGTCGACGTTTCCCGGCACTCTTCACGCATTCCGGCCAACCACCGCGCGCATTGCTCGCCTCATCGCCTCGCTCACTCATCCCAACGACCGCAACCGCATCCGCCACCATGGGCCACGAAACGCGCATGGACAAGCTGCGGTCGGCCTGGAGCAACTCAGCCTTCACGCGCAATGCCCTGATTTCCTCGGCAGCGCAGGCCGTCGTGCAACTGGTCCTCGAAATCGCGATTGCCATTGACCACCAGAGCAAGCTCGCGAAGGCCCAGGCCAAGGCCGCCACGCTGCCCAACTTCAACAATGTGCCCATCAACCTCGGCCGCGCCGTGTCCGTGTACCACTACATCTTCATGGTGCGCTTCGCTTGGTTCGCTCCCTGCTTTGCGCGACGCCGGAGCACCAAACTGACGCACTCCCTGCCACTATGCCAGATCGCGACCCTGCTCCAACTCTTCTTCACGTTCGACTCGGTCCTGAACCAAAACTCGATCGAGCTCGTTGCGCTTAACATCATCAACCTCGGTCTCTTCGGATACTCAATCATCCAGTACACGCAGGCGCAGACCATCTTCGGCGACCTCAACAAGGGGCTCAAGGACCGCGACCCGACGTGGCCGGCGCTCGCCGAGACGTCGGTCTTCCATATCCCGTCGATGGTCGTCTCGCTCGTCTTTTTGCTCGGCACAGCGTGGCTCGCGTATAAGCTGCACCGCGAATACGGGTGGGCCATCTACAAGCGCATCGGCGCGGATATCGGGCTGCGGCGGCAAATGATGGCGTATTTCTTCTTGATGATGATGTACGTCTGGCCTTATCTTCGCCGCCATGATGCTACGACTTCGTTAGCTGACGCCCGCTCTCCTCGATGGTCGTGTAGCATCAAGATCGACGTCTTCTTCTACTTCACCTTCTCGCTGCAATTTCTCGTCATCGGCTTCCTCGGTAAATCCGACTCGACCGACATGACCATCCACATTGTCGTCTCGGTCGTCATGATCTTCGTGCTCGTCTTTCTCGTGATTCGCGGCACGCGCACCGAATCCGACTGGTACATGTGGGCGTTCATGGCCGGCACGATCGCATGCATGGCGTATCTTAGCTACAAGTTTTACCAGGCGCTCACCGAGTACGTCCCGCACCTGCTCCTTCTTGTGCCCAACTCGCCACTCACGCGCGGCTTCGTGCATAGGGATCGGTTCCTGCCCGTCGTCAAATCCATCTCCTTCTCGATCGTTCTCTGCCTGATCGTCGCGCTCGTCACGCTCATCAACGCCTTCATCTGTTTCCGCAATTTCGGCGCCGGCCTGATTCACTATATTGGCAAGGACGCGCACGAGCGGCGGCGCCAGCAGGAGGCTGCTGCGGCGGCGGCCGCGGATCTGCGGCCGTCCGATGACGGGACCTCGCTCGACGGCCACGGGACGGGGACGACCGCCGCGGCAACGTATGTCGACGCGGGAGTCGCGAACAAGGCGTATTACTCGCAGGCTGCGCAGAGTGGACAGCAGGGGGGTTACGCGCCGCCGCAGGCGCAGAGTGGGTATTACGCGCCGCAAGGACAGGAGCAGGGGCAGTATGCGGCGGCGGGACCGGCGGCAGCGCCAGTGGCGAGCGGGTACGGCGGGTACCCACCACAGGCGCAGCCGTTGGGGCAGCCGCAGTATGCGGGGCAGTAGAGAAGGCGCGGTCGTCGTCGTCGTCGATGATGATTTCGTCAGTTCGTTTGATGGTTTATTTTTGTTTCGGTTCGGTTTGTGCCCCCACCTCGTTTGCCCGCATTGTCGATGGGCGATTTGTTATGACCCTCCCTCTCTCGTCTCCCCAGTTTTGCCATGATCATCATTTGCGGACCGCGTCGCGACTTGAAATAATTGCAAAGACTGGGTGTGTGTGGACGTTGCTCAGATGGATTGGCGCAGTCGTTGAAGAACAGGAGACCAAGGCGCAAGAGCCTGCACATTGAACCATTCTCAATTCTCAATAAAACTTGTTCAGGCAAGCCTAAATATCAGACGACGTGGCGGAGTGGTCTAACGCGTCCGACTACTAATCGGATTCCTTCTGGAGCGCAGGTTCGAACCCTGCCGTCGTCGGTCATCAAGTGGCAATTCGAACATTTTGTAAATGGATTTTTAGTAATATCTGTCTTGTTTTCTTGCTTCCTTGTCTTGCACGTCTTGCACGTCTTGCACGTCTCCCTGAGTCTGCTCGCTGGACTTCGAGCGTCTTCATGCCAGAGTGCAGGTTCGATTTCTGCATTGTTTCAAAGGTCAGCAGAGGTGCTTTGGGATTGGGATCCAACCAGAGCCTTAAGAATTGGTTTTTCTTGCCTGTTTCACAAAGGATCACACTGATTGTACAAGCTGGGAGCACGACTACCATAATTAAGAGAGTGTAGCCACAAGCTATGAGCCTCACAGTCATCATAAGGGGCCAATATGGGCATCCAAAGGCAGCAGCTGTCTACAACCTAGGTATGCAACCTGTATCTGGCTCCAGCCCATTGGAAATGTGGCCTCATGGAGGTGCAACCCCTGCTGCTGGCGATAATGTACATGTCATGCTAAGAATGTACCTTGTTGGAAAAATAACTTGCATTTTCAGTTCCTGGATGCCTTGGCTGCCTTAGTGCTCTTATTTTGCAACTGACCTTTCATTTCTTCTCCAGATGTTGCGCCCACATATTTGGCATGTGATGTGCTCTCTCAGTGCCAAGTATGTAGCAGCAACTAGTCAGGTTGGCTGGTGACCTGTTGTGCAAATCAGGGTGCAGGTTTGACTCCTGGCATTATGGTAAGTTGTGTTGTTCAATAGCATTCATGAATCCATTGCCATGCATCAGATCAGAACAAAAAGTGCCAGCTTCTAGTTTGATCATGGCAATCAATCACTTTGAAGCCAAGTCGGTACTTGATTCCAGCAGGTCAACAGAAAAAAGGGTTTTTGAAATTAATCAGCAGTCAAAAAATGTAGTATATTTGACCACAGTGCACACCTGTTTTTGGGACTAGCAATGCAGCTTGTTGAAGTGCTTTTAACGTCCATTGGCCACACCTGCAGCTCATACAGTTTTGTTCCCTCGCCATATTGATGAACTTTGTGAATTGAGTTGGTGAATATGAACGGTGTTAAGAGTTAAAACGTCCAGGTCAGCAAGCTGGTATTGGACGTGGGCTAGCATTGACAGATTCAAAACCTGTATCACTGACAAAAGAGTTTTATCACCTGACGTATACTTGGCAGATTTGCACTTCAAGCCTTTTTCTCTGCTCTTTTGCGAACACTGGGCCACCTCCCTTCCATGCTCATATTTATCATTTATCAATGTACAAACAAAACGAGCACGACAACAACAATCGCCGTGACCACGGTGGCCCCAGCCGCCATGATCAATACCCGGCGAAAAGCGTGTGGAGCATTCGCGCTCGCTGCGCGTGGTGGTGGGGACGTGACGCGCGGTGTCGCGTGAATAATGGGTACAGCTGAACGAAGCACAGCAGGCAGCGGCCCATCGCGCGGGATAACATTATGACCCGCTGCTGGTGCAGGCATCCGTGGCGATCCAAGCACAGGCACCCGCGGTGATCCCACTGGTCGTCGAGCAGCAGCGTTGTACTCGCCAGGACGTGACGGAAGGACGGCGCGCGGTGGTGGTGCGATCGGGATCGGAACGGCGGCGGTACGTGGCGGCGGCACGATCACTCGTGACCCGCCGGCCGGCGGGCGCGACGCCACTGCGGGTCGCGGCGACCCGGGCGCTGTGTTGTTCCAATTCCGCGCCGGCACCGGCACATCGTCCACCCCCAACGCCGAATCCTGTGCATCGTACCCATCGAGCCGCATTGACCCCGGCATCCCCGGAATCGCTGCGGGGGGCGGTCGCATCTCCACCTCCTCCAAATATCGTGCAGGCAACGGTGGCGGCGCACCGAGCACCGACGACCGAGGCAGCGTGCTGTCGAGTAACGTCCGTGGCAGTGTCGACGTGGCCTGCGTCGTGGCCATGGTCGGTGGACGCGTCGTGCCGTCAAAAACAGTGCGCGGAAGAGTCGAGTCGATGACGGTGGTCGGGAGGGTGGAGCGCGACGTGGCGCGCGATAGGTCTGTGGCAGCGGCGGCACGTGGGAGTGGGGGTGGTGGTGCGGCTGGGCGGCCAAGGGTCGACGATGCGGGGAGGGCGAGGGAAATGACGCCGGTGCGGCCGCTGTAACTGCGGCCGAGTGTGGATGATGGCGGGAGTGCGAGCGAAATGGCGCGCGAGGCAAAGTCGGCGTTGGCGTCATCAGCGAGCGGGTGGTACAGCGTCGCCGGTTCCGGCTGGGATTCGGGCTCGAGAATCAGCGGAACCGCATTCCGCCCAGCGCGCGCGTCGAGTCCACCGTTGGGCGTGACCGGCAGCGACCCGTACGCCGTGTCGGCCGACATGGCGCTCAACTCGTCGTCGCGGCGCCTCGGCGGCGCGAGCGCGTTCCCACGCGCCAAGGGCGACGACCCGAGCACCCCGCGGTCCACGGGTCGTAACGGCGGCGATGCCGCGGGTCGAAACACGGGTATCGCCGCTGCAGCTGGTCGTGTTCGCGGGGACACGGTCGCGGTCGGCCACGGACCGTCGTCTCCTGCTCGTTGCGCGGCGCGCACGACTGAACCGAGCATCGATGACTCCTCGAGCACGCTGCTGAGATCGTCGTCATTGTCGGCGAAAATGGAGCGCGGCGCACGGGAACCGCCGACGCGCGCAAGCGGGTCTGCAGCGGCACGCGCGCGGTAGCGTCCATGCTTGGCCTCGAATTGGAACTCGGGCAAGGTGAACGGAACCGGCGACGAAGGGGTGCTGGATGGGTTGCGCGTCGACACAGGCGCCGCTGTCCTGCTCCTCGGTGCGGTCTGCACGCCCTTGAATCCGCCTAAACGGTGGAGAAGCATGGTCATTCTCTGAACAAGCAAAAAGAGTGGAAAAAATGGTCCGCACATCGTGGCGGAACTTGAGGAACTTGCGGAACATGCGAGTCGGACCGAGCAGGCGTCGGCAGCGGCGACAGGGCAGAAGCGTCCATGGCGTCGGCGATGAGGTGCGGACAGAATCACGGTGGAGAACGGTCCCACGAGGGAAAAGAGACTGGGGAACTCGTTCGAGGGCGAGCGAGCGGATGGACGTGGACTGCAGCAGGTCAAAGCACACGTCGTGGCGAATCAGCTCGACGTAATGGGCATGTCTACTGCCGCTTTGCTGCAGACATGAACTGATCTATTATTGAATCGTCTATTGATTTCGAGTTCGGGCGTTGGCGAGCGTGCGGATGCGCTGGTCGAGCAGCTGTTGATCACGAAGGGAGATTGATCTCGGCCTGTGCGCCGTCAGCAACTACGGGGTGGTGCTGGTCCGTTTCGGCCCAGAACCTGATGACAACGCAAAGTATACGAGAGGGACACTGGTCCACGCCGAGTATCGTCCGAAACGGCCAGGTCGTGCGCGCAATGGTGAGGGTGTTTCTGTTCTTGAAGCACTAGCAGCGCAGCAACGACGAAGAGAGCGCGCGCGTCGTGAACAATCCGCGTGCGCGACAGCTCGCACATGCAACGTTTTGCACGGCTGGCTCCGGCTGCAACGGAACGGCAATGATGGTGCTCATCAAGAAACGGAGAGGCGGCGTCAGGCTTCCCCTCGTCTCCGCACGCCGCGGCTCATGATGGGCCCGTGCGCAGGTTCACTCGGGACGTTTTCCGGGTGCATCAAGCCTGGTGTGGTTGCGACAGATTGCGAAGTCATGTTGGGCGGGACGTTGGTTGGATGAAAGGTGGGTGGATAAAAATCGGTGCTGCAGTGTGGCGAAACTGAGCACAGGCTGATGCTTTGCTTTGCTTCGGGTTTGCGCAAAGTCGCTCCAGCCTTTGGCTGATCAGCCTCACGTGTGTCATTTCATTCGTTCATGAACACCGAAAGTTGGCGAAAAGATGCGAAAGAGTGACGTAAAACTGTGAAGAGTTGGCAAATGTGCATGCAGTCGAAAGCGCGATGAGCCCAAAGTGCGATGCCCGCGAAGACATCTGCCGTCTGCCGCCTGCACTGACGTTTTATCAACCCAGTGGATGTAGCGGTGGTGGACACTGCATGACGCGCGCCGCTCGAAGCTCGAGCTCACGGAGCGGCGGCTCGACTTGAAAATGCTCAATTGATTCAGCAGGCGGCCGGCCAACCGCCACGCTGGACGTTGTGATCAATGCCTGATCTGACATCTTTCTTCTCCACCCTTTTAGCTGGCGCCGGCCCGACTGCCCTCCCGTGATTGTGGACAAGTTAATCACACCTCCGCCTATAGTTCCCGACCGCCTCGACCCCTATTTACAACTTTGACTTCAAGAACCCGTGCACGGTCGCGACATACTCTTTCGGGAACGTGCGGAAATGCTGCACGTGCAACGACCCCTGGAACAACCTCGCCTCGACCTCACTCCCGGCCTTGCGCATCCGCCGAATCGCCAACTCGACCTCGCGCGGCGGCACAAACACGTCCTTGTCCGAGTACAACATCAGCCGCGGAACCCCTTTGGCGTTTGGGTCGTCGCACAGCATCTCGAAATTCCGGTCGAGCAACGGCTTGATGCGCAACACGCCGTAGACGAGCGCAACTTGTGTGAGCAGGCCCGCGTACATGAGCCGCAGGACGACGGGACGTAGCCAGGAAGGGATGCCAGGGATCGCTTGCGTGTAGAGGAGCGCGCCCTCCCAGGGGATGTTGGCCGCGACTGGGTCGGGGGCCGAGTCGAAGATGATCGCGGCCGTCGACGCGAGTTGCTCGTGGTGCTGGACGCGCAGCATGTCCCACAGACACGCGAGCGAATTGACACCACCATTGGATAACACGTGGAAGATGAGCTGGCGCTGCAGTCCAGGTGGATCTGATGATGGCGGGTGCGGAAAGTATGAGTGGGTTGCATTCACGCAAGAGTCATTCGTACATGTCGGAATCAACGTACCTAGCTCGCTTGCAATCTCCCACGCCTTCTTCTTCCCTTTTGGCACCGGCACGACGTGCCCCCGCTCAATGAGCCACTCGCGCAGCGGCGCCAGGTACCGCCACGTCGCCGAACGGCT